TTAACATGCATGTCTCCTTTTCTGATGGAGACAGTAGACAACGTCTACATGCTTTACAGCTAATTACAGTAACTTAATCACTTCTTTCTACACGTCGTTCACACAGGCTGCCACTACGTGCCGCTAACCTGCTTTTCCACCACCAGCATGCTTTGTATATCGCCAGACCAATAAATTAAGAAAGTAAAATCATAAAAATCGCCTCAAAAGCAAAACAAATGAAATATTCAGCCGATCACCCAACCCTATTAGGCAACGAAAACATCACGCATCTAGTTAGATAGTTTAATTACTAGCTGCTAAATCTAGCAATTAATTAGCGATCACTCAAAAGCCAACTTAACACTGAATGACATTTTAAAAGGAAACGGCAGCTCGTGAAGCTAAGACGTCAATCATCAACAACAAATTACATCATTATGCACAATTACAACATGTAATGACTTTTTCTTTTTTTAAAAGGATGGAAGTGAAAACGAAGCAGCTCAAGGTTCAGATTAAATGCTCTCCGTCGCTCATCTCTCTGGATCTTAAATGCCTTCTTCACTTGTTTTGGATCATTTCAGGCAATTGTGTTTTCTCCTCTTTAAAGAGCAAAATAAAGTAGGTTTCATCCTGTTCTCTCTGCCACCTGAGCGGTCACTATGCTGCCCGGCGAGCGGTTTTAAAACAGAAAACAAACATCTTTGCTTTATAAATTCAGAGCAGTAGAGAGAGAGCAAGCTGCAGCGGATGATACTGAATGAAGGATGACTTTACTCCAAATAAGCTTCTGTGTAGAGAATCCAACACAAGATCAGCCGAGCCAGCGACGGGGTTTCATGTGTGGCAGTGGGCTCGCTCACACACATGCATGTACCCGCTCCTCACACAGGGCTGACAGATTGAGGGGGCGGAGCTTAAGCCGCCCGGTCCGACCCTGGCAAAGACATCACGGTGATGCAACGGTACATGCACGTGTGTGTGTTTGTGTGTCTGCGTGCATGTCGGGGCTGATGACTCACCAGCAGCGAGCGGTTTAAGATGCACCGAGGACCCGGTTAATGCTTTACACATTAAGCGCTTTTTCTCTGTTTATTTATATCCAAAACAATTTTGCAGGAACACAGGCCCAGATAAGACGCACGCAGGCAGAAAGACGCCGCATTTCAAATGAGGATGATGACTAACTGCGTAGCATGTCCCGCTCCTTCCAAACGCTGCTGTCACACCCTGTAAATACGAGCGTACCATCTGTCCACCCGGCTCTGCCTCTCCGCCTCACCGCTGCTGCTGCTGCTGCTGCTGCTGCTTCTCGGATGAACCCCTGAGTGAGCAGCACAGATCACCAAAGATGATCTATTTTTCAAGACGCTGTCTGAAATCTGGCCGGGCGTAATAGGCAAGGAGATGGGAATGTAACCGCCGTCTGGAAGTGGCTGAGAGTTAGAAGAGGTCCACTTTGACAAAAAACACTTATTTAATGTCTTTGATGTTGCCAAGGTTTTGCATCACAGCTTATGAAACGATGTCGTCGTCAGACTTAGTGCGTGGCCTCTGACTGACCTCCTGATGGGCTTTACTGCAGACGTGGTCTTTAACATGAACTGTAGCGTTGATTTCTGTTTTTGTTTTGTTATTATTTCAATTTATGTTCTCGGCGACGTTGTTTGCAGTTGACATCCCAGAAAATGCTGGTAAGTCGCCTGCTTGCGGCCGGGCTTCCACTCCTCAGAGAGCTTGCTGGATGGAGACTGTGAACACCTTGAAACATGTGAATCCTGCAGACACAAGTCACAACTCCTGGTCTTCTCCTCCCTCAGCACCTTCCCCTCACTCTCCCACCAGCACCATCAGCCTGCTGCCAGCCCTCAGTCATCACCTGCCATGAAACGTTTGTGGGAATGACGCGACCGTGTGCATGATGAGGAGAAGCCTTTGCACTTTCTTTAAGGTTCACGCCTGATCCCGGGGGGTGATGGCACAATCACTGCAGCTGGTTCAGTGCACATGCCACAGTCGGTATCTTAAACTGTGCGACCACGTTCCTTCGCCCCCACTGTGCCTTTTATACACGTCACTTGTGGAAAAACAAGGCTGCTAAAAGCAGGGCAGTCACATGAGTGGGACCGAGGGCTGGGGTCTGTCAGAAGGGTGACTTGCGCCTACTCTTCTTCAGAAAAGAAAAAAGCTAATCAGTCAGGCGAGATTATAAACCTCTCCTTCACGCCATCACCTCTTGAGACCTTGTGCTACCTTTCTGAAATGTAATGTGTGAGATACGGTCACCACATGCATAAGTGATGAGGCTTGAGAGGAAGGGTGAAGCCCTTCTCCAACACGAGGCCGTCTTACTGTCACTTTGACATTTTCATTCTTCAGACCATCAGCTTACATCCATAATATGCCCATATAGAGTTGTTTGAACGCCACATAATCTACGTCTTTTGTTGCATCATGCTCAGACGGCAGGTAGGACTGCTCAGGTAGCACAAAGACTTTTTAAAAGAAAGAACGCTGTGTTTTTCTAAAACTTTTACGTACACTGCTTTAAATAAATCCCACCGTTGTGTTACCAAACAAAATTTGGGTGAATAAACAGACACATCTTCTCAGTTACCTTGACATTTAGTTATGATATATGTTAGATTTTTCATTTTCTGCCACCAACCTGAGATTATTGAAGAAACGCAATCGCTGTGTGGAACAAAGACTGAAAAAGTTGTTTCCAGAAACACTGTCTCAGGTACCCGAGGATAATCAATACACCTACCTGTGAACAGACTTCAATGGGACCAAAGGAACGGTCCCAGTGACATTGGAAGCACTTTTGGTGCCAGAGGGATTGCAATTTAGGGGCTATTTGTAAGAGTAGTGGAACCAGACAACCACGGAGCTGTGATGTGGGAGCTGCTGTTTCGAGGACCCAAAGTAAAAGTTACATCCATTTTCCAAGAGGCAATGTTTTACGTGGCTCCCGGTTGGAGCTACGCCACGGCTCGGACTGATATAAAACTGTTCTGGTTGCATCTTCAATCCACGTAATTACCTACAAAGTATGTGGCTCTTTGGTAGAAACTCAAAGGCACAAGCTTGTGTATGTAAAACTGAGGAAAAAAAGCTGCAATTTGGCAGAAACATCCACTGAAAGTCTTTCATGTAAGCTACCTACATATAAATATACGGTTTTGATAAAACTGAAACGACAGTCTACAGCATGAACCAGTTCACTTTAAATTTCTGTTTGACTACATTTTAGCAGCTGCGGCGTCGTATTCTGAAGCATTTTGAATTCCCTGCTGTTCCCATTCCCGAGGCTCACGGATGCCGTAGTATTGTTTGGTGCCATCTGTGGAGCCTAAGTGACAGACCAAACAGATAAAACTGGTGGCCGTAACATAAACGTAGAGGCTTCTGGCATCATCCACCACAGTGCTGCGTTTCTGTGGTAAGAATCCTTTAAAGAAAAACAATCTAAAAAGCAGCAGTCCCTCCTCCCAACTTAAACGGTGGCGACTGCACAACTGGTGCCGGTGGAGCCAGATGGGCCGGCCAACAGCGTTTGTTCTAATCAGATATAATTTAGATATGAGGCCCGGTTAAGCAGTTGAGCTTTTGTCTGCATGAGTGTAGGATTTAAAGGCAGTGAATAGAGATGCTAGTCTGTCCAGAGGGCGTATAGATTTGTGACGGCAACAGCGGATGTCTATTAGTATGTGTATGAACTGTAGACACCACTGAAGGTAAAAGGGAAAGGATGTTTTGTTGGTGTTTGAGTGAACTGACTCCCATGGATGTAGTTGTTTATAGGTTTGACATTTTTGAATTTGAGTTTTGGTTGGTCATCCTTTCTTGACTCTTGGTTCTCATGAAGCCAGCAGACAGAAAGCTTCTGGAAGATTTACAGGCCACGCGTGCCATGTGTGAAAGGGACTTGGCTGCACTTAAGCCATTTATCTCATGGAACTGCCCAAAACGCAACACATTTCTTGTCAGCTCGCTGTGTACCGTCATATTTTTTAATATCTGCCTACTGCATGTAAAAGCTTTAATCCCAGTCCTGTTCACAATTGGCTCCATAGTACATCCAGAGCTGTAAAATGGCTTTTATATCATGACTTAGAGGCAGGTTTTCCATTACTTTTTTCTCTCCTCCTTGTAACAAGTTCAATTTGACTGAATAATGGGAACATTCTCGCCGCTCGAACATTTCTCCACCAGTCTGGGTTTCACTCCAGCTTTGAGGGAAAATGGCCTTTCGCTGAGAGCATGTGGACCAAACGCTGCATGAAGAGCCGGAGCCATCTCATCTCAGTGCCATCTTAATGCGCTCAGAAGTGCAGCTTTCCGTCAGCGTTATGGAGGAAATTATAGTCAGGCTTTGTTACTGCACTCTGATTCAGGGTGGAAAAGCTCGTTCCTCCTGCCAAAGGCTTCACCCTCGGATGGAAACTTTAGCTTTAGTGCAGCCCTCGTACACAGGATTGATGATGATAATGTTTTGATGACGGGCTGTCGGATGAACATGTGGGCTAATGTTTGCTTTATATCTCTTCTTTTTTCTTTCCTCCCACTCTTTGACTCCTCTCCTCTCGTCCTCCTCCCTCTGCTTCTGTCTCTGCAGTCCACTCCACTCCACCTGGCAGCCGGATACAACAGGGTGAGGATAGTTCAGTTGTTGCTACAGCACGGAGCAGATGTTCACGCCAAGGACAAGGGGTACGTACAACAGAACCGAAGAAAGGTTCGATGAAAGAAGGAAATTAAGAGAGCTGAGCGGAAGGTGTTTGGACTTTTAAACAGCCAGACCTCTAGAAACACAGCAGGCTTGGATATGAGTGTTTAATATATGATCAGTGATGCTCTCTGAGGTTTAACCATCATCCAGAAGCTTCACTGAACCTGACAGGAGATCAGTGGTCATTCTTCTTGAATCTGCTCTGATTTGAATTAAACCTCATAAGATGTAGGTGGGTGGATATACACCCTCAGAATAAAGCACTCGGACGTTCATGATGCTCAGACCGACTCGGTGAACCCGTGACTCTTTGTCTCGCGTCACCATCAGGTTGACATTTGTGGTTTTGGGATATCTCCACAACGAATCCGTCGATCGCATTCATGAGATGAATTTTAATATTGTTGGTGATCATCAGGTCAAAGTTCCATTTTGGTTTTTGATTAAATATGTGCAGAACTAATGGCGTTTATCATCAGCTTCTGCTCTGCAGCACTTTATATTTATATTTATAGGGCTAATTAGCAAACTGCTAACATCCTGAGATGTTGAACATGGTAAACCATACAGTAAAAACCACATTGTCTGTGCTTCTTCTAGCAAAATGCGATTGAATCAAGTGGTTTTAGGTCGGACAACAGGCAACCAACTGATTACCGTAATGTCTGGACTATAGGCTGCTACTTTTTTCACACGCTTTGAACACTGCGGCTTAAACAACGATGCAGCTAGTTTATGGATATTTATGAGACAAAAGTGAAGCTGAAAGCGACAACGAAAGAGAGACTGAGAAAGTGTGTGATGAAGTGATTCTGAGGCTGTTTAGCTCAGACACTGAGGAAGATGACTTCAGTGGTTTTAGGAGGAAGATGAAGATAACGACCAATGACTTTTTCTACTGGAGTTTTTATTTTCTTATCCAGCCGTGTTACAGGCACTGTTCGGTAAAAAACATCTAAGATACATATTTTTGTATGTTACCGGTACGTATTTAATTAAAAGTTGAAAAAATATTTCTGTGTAAATATCTCATGTTACAACGTGGACACCTGCGGCTTATATTCAGGTGCTCAATAGTCCAAACATTACGGTAACTCACAGCCTTTACTTTTACGAACAGACGCTTTAACAGTTTCCAACAGAATTGTTCTGTTTCAAGACGTGACATGATTTTTGTGGCACTTCTTTCTCTGTAACTGTAACCCTCAGACGTCAGTTTAAAAAAGCTACATGAACGTCCTTTTAAGACAAAAATGCTTCAAAAACAAACACCAAAAAAATGTTGTATATTAATATTACATTCCACTTTTAGTGACTGTTAACTATACATCAGTTCTGATCATATTCTTTCATTTTAACCCTTTATGTGCCAGTTTGTGGCGAAAAAAAAACCCCACAAAAAATGAAATATTTTCCATATAATAAATGCTACGTGGAAGTTTTTCCTTTTTGATTATAACAATCTGGGATGTGTCAGCGATCAGCACCAAGAGATAAAGAAGAATTAAATTAGGTTTCATTTGAATTAATTGAAGGATCTTTTGTGTTTGTCCCGTCCAGCGGCCTGGTGCCTCTACACAACGCCTGCTCTTATGGACACTATGAAGTGACTGAGCTGCTGCTGAAGGTAAAGCACACGCTGCTATCGACCCCTAATTAATGTGATTATATTTGATATAAATGGAGACACACTGTGCTGTTGCTGCTCCTTCAAAACAAACACAAACCCCATCGTTGGCTCTGAACTATCCACAGTTGATTCAACCTAAACGGTACCAACGGTGCAGTCTTTGCTCTGTTTACTCCTTCGTTTCATCCTTTTTCTTTTTCCTCCTCCCCCAGCATGGAGCCTGTGTGAACGCCATGGACCTGTGGCAGTTCACGCCGCTGCACGAGGCGGCGTCTAAGAACCGAGTGGAGGTCTGCTCTCTGCTGCTGAGCCACGGCGCCGACCCGACCCTCCTCAACTGCCACAGCAAGAGCTCGGTGGACATGGCGCCCACTCCCGAGCTGAAGGAGAGGCTTACATGTGAGCGTACAGCGCCGCTACATGTGTCGTGGTGCCAAATTAATGAACGGGGTGTTTTAGGAATGGGTGTGTTGATACCGTAACTTATTGGAGAAGTGAGACGTTGACAAAGTGTTGGTGTGAAGACGGAGCGAACACGTGACATCCAGCAGGTCCTCTGAGCCGAGCAGAACAACACGATGACTGACGATCGCATTCATTCGTGTCTCCTTTAACTGACTAAACCGCGGCACACGTAAAGCAGAAAGGAGTCCATCACGCTTAGAAAACTGTGGCAGCAAATAGAAAATCTGATTTCCCCGGCTTTTGAAATTCTCCAACTTCAAACAGAAATTAATGTCCCTGCACAGAATAATACATTCTGTAGTAATTGCTTTAATGTTTTCTGGCTGCAGTTAATCAGGAAATCCAAATCAATTATGTTCCCACTTGACTGCGAGTTAGTCACGTTAATAGCTGCTGCCTTTGGCTTTCACTCCTGCAGTCGCTCATTCATAAAAGTGCGGCGGCGGCGGCGGCGGCTTCACCTCCGACGGTCGGAGCGCTTTGTTCTGAGCCGCTCACCTCGAGTTTCTTTAAACTTTCTGCTCTGCTTTGATTTCAGGTTGACTCATATTTGAATATTCGTCACACTCACACTGAAACTGTACATCCCAGAGCGTGCATTGTCTCATGTGATGTGTTAATTAAACAGATGCAGTACGCTGTAATTAAGTTATAGCAGCGTTTCCTCTTTGTGCCGCCGCCGCAGAGTCAAAGCTCAGGGATCGGCCTTTGTCTCCACCCGCCCGCCCGCCGCAACTCTCGCAAACTTAATTAGTGACTCGGCTCTCTCGTCGCCGCACTTGTTGCGTTTGCGTTTCGTAACGAAGCGGATCAAAACAAAACCGAAATGCCACATGAATCACCAGGCTGTTTGTTTTGATGATGAAGGTGTGTCATCGGAAACTCGTCTCAGCGGGATGTTCGCCGCATCACGGGAAGAAATCCAAAATACCGTCTTTGGGTTTTCAAACAAAGACTTGTAGAGCGGAGACGGAGAAAGCTTTTAGCCATCTGTGCTTGTAGCGTACACCAGAATATACACGTTGGGATGGATTTAGACGGCGAGAATCGAAGGGAAATTCTGTGACAGCCATTTTCTTTTCCGTAGAACAAATAATTTGACCTGAACAGTAAAAGTTTTCATTAGTTTAACCTCTAAAAGGTCACATCTATGCATCAATATGACTGATTTTGTATTTTTTGCCGTGAAAATAACCCACAAAATGCCTTATAGTGGCTCAGATGTGACTCTATGTGCACATCTATGAAATCTAAACCTCTCTCCACCCACTGCTGCTCGAGCACACCAGCTCACCTACAACAATGGGTCCACTACACAATGCAAAGTTGTGTTAATGTTGTAATTCAGGTGTTCGTGTTTGACTTGGAAACCGATTCTGGGAAAGAAAGCACCGCTCTTGGATTTGTTTCATATGAGAAAGTCTGGATTGAGATTGAAAATTGCAGTTTCACGGTGGAAACACTCGATAGTTGACTCTTTACGTTGCTCATGAGATGCCTTTTAGCATTAAAACAAACATTATACGGACATGTTAACAAGATAAAGAGCTACATATTGACCAGAGAGGGCCTTTAATGTTTGAACCCCAGGCGTTAAGCCTCCTGCTGCCTTGTTTGTGGGTTGAAAAAATGATTTTTCCAGACGACAAAGTGAAGGTAGTAGTTTTAGAGCCAATTAATTTCATTTTGACAGCAAATAACCTCCCGTAAAACCACAACTCACTTTGGGAAATCTGATTTTCAGTGTGATTATTTTGTGGCCAGAAGAAGTCACGGTAACGGTATTATCTCGAGGAAGTTATAAAAAGTAATAACGGTAATGCTTTTCTTGGACGCGCTCGCCTGTCGTCTCTCCTGACGGGATTTTGCGCGATGGCAGCAGCGAGGCGTCGTCTGATGTAGTAGCTCGTTACGTCATTAATATCAACGTTTTTTTACACCTTTGTGCGTTTATATCCAGGGCCTTTACACATTTGCATACTAAAATCCAAGTTTTTATACTTTTGTGCGTTAATATCCTGTTTTCTTTGACTCCTTTGCGTGCTTACGTCCATTTTATGCGTTTTTTTAAAGCATTTCTCAGCAAGAAAGTGAATAAATGTGCTCGACTCATGTCCACATTCAAACCTAGAAGTCTGAAGCGGCTTCAGCGACTAAGTGCAATGAAGACGGAGCTGCTTCTGTTTCCGTTCATCTGCTGTGTTTTCATGTTGCTGATTCTGATTCTGCTCCCTTCTTGACCACGTTTCCCTTGAAGACGCGAGTCCTTTGCGGCGCTCGTGCCATTTGTCTAAATGTCTGATTATAAATGCATGAGCGCCGTCGCTCGGTCGGCAGATCGTCTCCAACGCGCTCCTTTCATGCAGCCTGAAACGCTTCTGGAGCAGAATAGTTTTGTTGTTTGTAATTTTCAGGCCCCGGGGGGATAATCACTTGTTTCCGCTCCGACTCCGTCACACAGACTGTTGCATCATGTGTTATTAGCTCTCTGGCAGGAAAAAAAGAACAAAACAAAACTTTGAAGTAATCTTTCTGAAGTATTGTTGCGCTGCAGGGTCAATGCGAGTGAAATAATACGCTGCAATGGTCGGGGAGGGATCTCGTTCTTCTCTCAGCACCAGATGCTCCTTTGTGGGTTTAGATACTGAAGCTGCTGCTCCTCAACACGCTGACGTTTCTCGTGTGCTTTCAGATGAGTTTAAGGGCCACTCGCTGCTCCAAGCCGCCCGGGAAGCCGACATGGCTAAAGCCAAGAAGACCCTGGCCCTGGAGATCATCAACTTCAAGCACCCCCACACGCATGAAACCGCCCTGGTGAGAGTCACGCAAATTAACCCGCACACACACGATCCCGACGCCGATGGCGAGTCGCTCACGTGATGTTTCTCTGCGTTAGCACTGTGCGGTCGCATCGCCTCACCCCAAACGGAAACAGGTGACGGAGCTGCTGCTGAGGAAGGGCGCCAACGTCAACGAGAAGAACAAAGAGTGAGTACAGCCTGTTTCCACCCCTCAGAAACACAAACTGCAGATTTATATCCGGCGGGTGATTTATGCTGGAGGTCACTTAACCTGATGCGAGTCGCCGACGCGCCGTAAAGCATCAGAGGCACTTCAGTGATATAAAGCAAAGACAGCATCGTCGCCTGATTCTCATCGTCTGCTGGCTTCGGTACATGTAGCCGAGCGCACGATATAAACATTAAACAAACAAAAACAACAACATCCACATCATCTACAGCAGCCGCCATAAACAGCCCCGACCAACGATTATACCAAGTCGAAGGAAATGTCTGGAGACTTTCATACCCACGACCTTACCTATGTACTGGTTTTCTTTTCTATTGGGATCATTACGTCAGCTTATTTTAAATGAACGTTTCACATATGAATCTATTTCTCATTAAAAGGCGAAACACTTCTATTTGCACATGACAGCTGAAAGTATTTTATCTTCTCATTAATGATCATATTTTTATGGATCGATTTTATCTGCCTCTTTGCTTTTAGTGTCATTAATTAATAGTTGTGTTTCTGATGTTATCTTGTCTTCTCCTACTTTTTGTGTGAAGCGCTTTGAATCACCTCGTGCTACACAAATAAACCTGCCTCGCCTGTTTAATGAGAAGACTTGTTTGTACTGCTTCCCTTTATAGAAACTACTCGAGTGTTTAGCGCACCACAAAGCAGTGCTCTTTGTGGAGCGTTTCAGAGTTAACCCTCTGAACTCTGAGTGGTTTCTGGGTGTTTTCTTTTGCTTTTGTCACATTTGGAAGCAGTAAGACCGACTAGAGGGAGAGAGGACTCAGAAATAACCTCGGTGCTGTATGACGCAGTGACTGTGTCAGAAAATATAAATATACATATAAAGAAGGAAAGCTGAATGTGTTTGAATACTTACAAAAACAAAAATAAAAATGGAATCTTGTACAACATTTTTTCAAGATGTTAAAAATACTGGAAAGAAAAAGGCGACTCTACATACTATAGATAATTCACGTTTTCATTACTTTTTGTTTGTTCTGCATAAAAACAACCTGAAGTTCAGACGAAGAGTCTCAGGATTTTTCTCACTAATGGTTTCATGATTGAGGGCTGCAAGGTGGATCAGTGGTTAGCATCGTGGCCTCACAGCTAGAAGGTCGCCGGTTTGTGTCCCGGTGAGGACACCCGGGATCTTCCTGCGTGGAGTCTCCATGTTCTCCCCGTGCAGCGTGGGTTCTCTCCGGGTTCTCCGGCTTCCTCCCACAGTCCAGAAACATGTTGAGGTTAATTGGTGATTGTAAATTGTCCGTAGGTGTGAATGTGAGTGTGCTTGGTTGTCTGTCTCTAAGTGTAGCCCTGTGATAGACTGGTTACCTGTCCAGGTGAACCTGCCTTCACCCTGAGTCTGCTGGGATAGACTCCAGCCCCCCATGACCCTGGTGAGGATTAAGGTGTAGAGATGATGGATGGATGGTTTTGTGATTGAGCAGCTGGACACAGAATCTCTTGTTTTTACAGAATCTTTTAAGAATAAATGGTTTATTTTGGGCGATTTTTTTTTAAACGAGATGCAGAATAAAGTGATTTTGATTAAATATTATGATTTTAAACTCAGGTTTGTTGAGGTTTTATAACTGAACAGCGTTTAAGGAACATCGTGAAGTAGAAAATCAGTCAATTCTCTCCGTTTTTAACCTTTGTGGTTCTGACAAATTACGTAATTCGGAGGACAACCCATCTTTCAAACCCACCAGTTAGTTTAAGGGTCAGAGGTTTATTAGCTTCACGACGGACTTCTCACTCCACAGTCACTTCTGTGGTTTCTTTGTTTTCATGCTTTTCACTGTGTGTGTTGGTAGACATCAGTTATTTATATACTGAGCTCCTCTTTATGTGTCTCGAGCTCCTCTGCAGCGGCGCGCTGGGACTGAACACAGATCTTTGGGTTAATCACTTTCGGCAGTCGCAGCCTCCAGCAGATGATGGTGCGAATATGAAACGGTGTGAAACTTCACCTCCACACTCCGGATGTGAGAGCGAGGTGTGGAGCAGCTAGCCGCGTTAGCTTGTGATGCAAACCAACAAACTCCATCCTCCCTTCCCAGGAAATCAGAGTGAACGTGTCGTTTGTAGTGATTGTGTAAAAGCGGAGTTATGTTCAGGAGACGTGGCACCGAGCAGACGTTCTGTTTGCAGGTTGACTTGGACTAAAGAGGTCAGCGAGTCAACCAGGATGAAACACGAGGGCGTAATGATAGCAGATGTTTCTAAAGTCATTTCATTTAGTGTTGACCTGTGGCTTTTACTTCTGTTTTTTCCTCTGGTTCGTTGTTTTAACAGAAGAGATAATGAGCTATTTTCTAAAACTGGTCTAAAAGTCGTTGGAAAGGTAAAGCTTTGTGGATTTATTTAACCATCAGGTGTTGTTTGTAACCAGTGGGGGTGCTGTGATGCTTCTTTAATACCACGATGTGTTAACTTTAGTTCATTAACACAAAGAAACAAACGTGTGTAGTACTTTTGTCAGGATCCAAACCACAGACTGATTTGTCTCCTGTCTTTGTTGTGTCTGTAGCTTCATGACTCCTCTCCACGTGGCAGCAGAACGAGCTCATAACGACATAATGGAGGTGCTACAGAAGCATGGGGCAAAGGTAAAGCAGATTATACAACTTCTTTTTAATCTTTATCTCCCTCCATCTATTTATTTTACTCACATGTCTTTATAACCACCTGTTAAGCTGTCTAATGTCCATCCATCTACATACAGACGCCTTTTTATTTGGTTTTGTTTCGTCATGTATAGTACGTATACAAACTCTTTATTGTCGAAGGTTCTCCACAAAGTCGTCGATGTAAAGATGTGAACGTGTCTTTAAACTCAATCATCGCTGTTAACTATCTGTTTATGTTTTTTTTGTGTCAGACACTGAGAATTAAAGACGAGGACGTCTTTGTGAAGCTGCCAGTTTAGTCTGATGTTCAGAAGTCGTCCAGGGTGAACAACACGCGCTCGCTAATTGCGGTTTTATTGCTTTATGCCGAAGTCGCAGCAGCTTTTATCCTCCTCGCTGAATTAGGTTAATGCAACCCTGTGTCACCAAAACTACTTTATGCACAACTAAACAGCGTTCTGGTTTCACCTCGAATGTGGGACGCATCAGATGCTTTGTAGATGAGGCCGTCTGAGGGAAAGTGGGTTCACCAGACGAGTAAAGTCACAGAACTCCATCAACAACACCAGAACCGGGTCTAAACGTGAATCAGTTGTGTTTTTAAGTAGAGCGGTTCAGGAAGTGACTGCATCTGAAGAGGTTCTTTCAGAAGTCCTAATGCAAAGGTGTGTGCAGGTGAACGCCCTGGACACGCTGGGTCAGACGGCGCTGCATCGCGCCGCGCTGGCGGGCCACCTCCAGACCTGCAGGCTGTTGCTAGGATACGGGGCTGACGCCTCGCTGGTGTCGCTGCAGGGCTTCACCGCTGCTCAGATGGGAAATGAAGCCGTTCAGCAAATACTCAACGGTACGCCGACCTCTGTGTGTGTGTGTGTGTGTGTGAGCGGCTGAGTGGGTGTGCAGATGTGTGGGTGCTGCGTTTTGGTTGCTATGCTGTAAATAGTGAGATTAACTGGAACTCTTCTGTAAAGGTCAATATTGATATTTTCAGAGCGAAGGTGCAGATAGGTAAATAGATGTGAAGGCAGAGCGAGCCGGTTCAGCTCCACAATACTGTAGCGTTCACAGATTAAAGGAGCCCAGTGGAGTGTTTTCATCAGCAGCAAAGCCTCACATCATAAACTCACGTGTTGAATGACTCCACACAAATTATCTTAAAGAGTTAAAATCCTGCGTTCTTAGTCTTCCTC